TATTCCGCACACGCCAGAAGAGTGTACAATAAATAGTTATTAAATTGGACATCAGTCAGCACACTGACTTATAGATTGTACAGTCTGATAGTCAATAAAAGAGAGAAATAAAAAATATATTTTCCTCAAGTGTCCACACCTGTTCCTTCTGTTACACTCATCAGAATGTCCATACTGTCTTCAGTTCTTCCGCATTCCGGTTGCTTTGATATGTGTGAATGGTTATTTACAAGAAGTAATTAATTTCAGTTTTAGTTTCCTTCCACCGAATTTGGTAATCTTTTCCATTATCCGTCACACATCCTTGATATAATCTCTGTAATAATATTTTATGCAGCTATTGATATTTACAGTAAACATTCATGTGTCCTCTGTTAAATTTTTCATATAAACACGAATGTGTTCATGAAATGTAATTCAGACGCTTGGAATTTGAAGTTCCCACTACGTGACCACGAAGACTACGTTCTTCTAGATTTTCATGCAGTCCAGAGAGAGCCAAAAGTTTCGGAGAAAGAGTCGCCTCCTTTTTCAATGTCGATGAGTAAATTAAGGAAGTAATTAGCAGAAATAGGTCGAGGACTCATATGAGCTCGCCGCTTGTCTATGCAGATTTGTTGATTGTCTTAACGCTTCAACCAAGAAGTTGAGGAGGTAGGTTCCTCCGAAATGTCGAGCTGTCTCCGAGTTACAACCCAATACGCAGTATTATTCATAATCCAAACTCTTCATATTGTCACGTATCCCGGTAACGCGACAAGAAATTAAGGGGATCCGGATTAGAAGAAGCTGTTTTTTGGATAACTCCTTTACAATTAAAATTAAAATCACTCTGATTTAATGTCTTCCATGAGATGCCACCTGGCTACTCTGTCGTCTTCTGGTTCTTAGCTGAGCTGGTTTATTCTACTCTCAGCTCTGCTCCATTCGCCTGTGATCTCTTCTCCGCTGTGCTCTCCTCTGTTCTCTTTGATTTCTTATATTCTACAGTTGGACAGCTTAGGGGACTCCTTATTCAAGGGTTCCGTTTCGTGTGCTCGATGTATCAGTTGCTAGTGTATTCGTTACCGCGGGAACTGCACTAGTCTTGGTTTAACTCCCGAGGTAACGGTCTGTTATGTATACGCTGTCTCGAAGACGTGCATGGACGGTTGCAGAGCAAATGGGCAATTCTTTGTCTGGCTCCATTATTTCGGCTTTTAGTCAGTGTTTATTGAACATTGCTCAACAATGGTCTGTTCCAGCTTGTTGTCTCTGCCACGTGTTTTAACCAGCCGTTGTCTAGCAATGGACACCAGCTTTGACTCAAGATATTCCGGCTTTTAGGTTGCACGTCACAATATTTTAATGCTAAAATTTCAAAACTGAGACATTGAACGGGGCTGAGCGTAGTTCAACAGTGGCGCTTTCGGCTTATCTTTGAATCGTGGTCATCCCTGGGAAGTTCATTCTATTTTCCTATCGCCTTCATTCTCTCATCGCGACAGTTATCTGCCGGCAAAGAATTCTGTAAATTGCTCAGCTACATAAGGCAAGATAACCTCATTGTCAAGTTATAGACGTGCATTGTTTTATAGCAGAAGATGCTTACAAAAATGGACACACGTAAAGAAAAACTCGAGATCTTTGGATAATTCATAATTTCAAAATTTCTCAGACGACATTTCTCTTTCACGCCCTTGGGCTCTTGTCTCTCATTTTGCAGTTTCATGGTAAATTCTACAGACGATGGGGCTCCTTAGATGAGTGATCAGCTCGTCGCAATTCCTCTACCAAAACACAGGACGACACACACAGAATAAACACACATACCAAACATCCATGCCTTTTGTGTGAACCGAACCCACGATCCCGGCTTCCGAGTGAGCGAAGATAATACATGCCTTAGACCGCTCGGCTACGGTGACTGGCCATATTACATGGACATAAATTAAACTGAGAACGAATTCCTTCCACTATTAGCTGTGACGTCATTAATATTTTTGACGAAACTCTTAAGTAGTATATACTTGCGTGAAATACATTATCAAATGAACGAATCCGTCTTGGCATTAAGAAATAGTATGTAACCGTAGAGTCCCGTTTCTTCAACCAGCAAGGAGAATGACGTGCACTTAAGATCATTATTGACATATTCACGTAAAGAATACGGCGAATAGAATGATAAGCTACAATGGCAAACTATCCTAAGTCAATTATTCAACCTGCTTACGAAAGATAACTACGTTTTCTCAAAGTGTATGCACTCATACGATGGATCAATTGATTGTAGAATAGTATTGCCTAAATTATAATCGCTTTATCAATCAGTAAATGATGATAAGAGTAACACAAGCTTCCGGAGTGTATTCGATTTCTGTAGTACATGCCTATCGACTCTATCACTGACTCAGGCCACGTATGATAACAGGGCCGTACAAGATTTCTCAACAGAGGCCACAAGTCCTGGCTGTAGGAACTAAGGCAGACAGCATGATTTCTCCATTATTGTAAGTAAATAGACAATGGAGGCCGCGTCATAGCTCAAGCGGTTAGTCGCTGGCTTCCCACCGCGGCGGCCCGGGTTCGAGTCCGGGTCTGGTTAAATGGGATTTGTGGTGGACAAAGTGGAGCTAGGGCAGGTTTTCTCCGAGTACTTCGGTTTCCCTTGCCAATCTTCATTCCACCAATTGCTCCACAGTCACCCTCACCTATCATCTGGGGTTGGTACAATAGGCCAGATGTGGCCGCAGTACAAGGGACATAGTCCCACCTCATTAGCAATAAAAAATAGACAATGGAATTCAATTATATTACGATTGTATTAGATAACGCGGGAGCATCAACGTCTCACAGCCCTATGGGCCTTCACGGCCTGGTACAAGGATAGCTTTACTTTTTACTTTACATTATAGTAAGAAAAACTACGATACTTATACAAATTGCTTCCCACAAAAAATGTGACTAAATACATTGTTTACGAAAATCCCAGAGTTCCTGGCTACAGATCCAGAGATCCCGGGTTCGATTTCCGGCGCTACCAGATTTTCTGAGATGTAGTGGTTCTGGAACGGAGTCCACTCAGTCTCATGAGGTTAATTGACGGTCTGTTTCAAGGAAATGCGGCTCCGGTCTAGAAACCCGAAATTAACGGCCGTGAGAATTCGTTGCGCTGACTACGCGACACCCTCTGTCAGCAAAAGTTGGCACTTACTTCGCGGACAAGCGGCGATTGCTCGGTCGGTATAGTTTCAGGGCACACGCTGATATGGATATTTTTCTTGTTTTATTTAACTCATGCTCAAAAATATTTCCGCATCTTTTATTTACACTCTGTACAAAAATGAAACACCTTTCCCGAAATATACTTCTCACTATATTCTTTAGTAATCACTACTCCCGAAGTGTGAGTTGTGTTGCTTTCCTAAGATCTCGAAGTTCCCGAATTGTACACGTAATTTGTTTGATTTTCTATAGACTTTGCTGCTCTCGAATTATACCTCATGCTATTTGCTTTGCACCTTTATGTTGCCTAACATTAAATCTTGAGCTCTCAAGCTGCTTACTTAGATATGATTATTATGCAACACATAAATTTGAAAGAGGAAAGAAATATGTAAAGTGGCTGTGGAGATATGGACTTAGTTAATGCTACTCTTTTGTGGTTTAAAAACAATGCTTATTGAGTAGTTTCAATATAGATCACATTTATTTTTATTTTCCGGTCAACACAGAAGCAGGTAGAATCGCTATCTCGGGCNCCAAGCTGCTTACTTAGATATGATTATTATGCAACATATAAATTTGAAAGAGGAAAGAAATATGTAAAATGGCTGTGGAGATATGGACTTAGTTAATGCTACTTTTTGTGGTTTAAAAACAATGCTTATCGAGTAGTTTCAATATAGATCACATTTATTATTTTCCGGTCAACACAGAAGCAGGTAGAATCGCTATCTCGGGCAGAATGCAAATTTCATATCCGGTTTATTTCATCACGTACTTCGTGTAAATATAAATGCAAGCCGAATGCATTCACCGCTGTGTTATACAATAAGTACATATACTGCATATTATAGTATATACTATATTGTATTGGCCTTTTATCAACTGGATAATATTGATTTTTTTTTACTGAAGTTATACGTATTGAATATTTTATGTGAATGAACTCCACTGAACATACTCTGCCTGCCGTGCGTTCCACTGCTCTTCTTGAGGCGAATTGGCTTTGAGGTCATTTTGACACTGTTATACTAACGAAAAGGGATTGTATTATGTGGTATAATTAGTATACGATATATATAGTGTATAACAAGTCGATTACAGTGGCCGCACTTTCTAAGGCATGAGGCGTCTTCGCCTTCTCGGTTCGAATCCCACTTGAGGCATGGACGATTATGTGTGTTTATTCTGTGTTTGTGCTGGCTCGTGTGTCGGTAGCGAACTTGCGGCGCGCTGATGATTCCCCTTTCCAGAAATCCTAGAGCCAGAGATAGGTAACATATAACAAACAGGTTTATACGCTATGCTTATGGTATATAAGTTCTTGTTAATTACATGATATAACGATTTTAATTAAAAGTCAAACCTCAAGATTTCACATATATAGCGAAACATGCCATCCTAGACAGTAATTGCACCTGATATAAATAGTTCTATGTTGGCAGGAATATAGTAAATATTATCTATAGTGATTTACAAAAATATGAGTAACATGACGTATTAAAATGCATTATTTTAAAGGTTTTGTTATATCGCCTTGTCAGTTACTTTCCTTAAGTACTAATTACGCCATACATATGCACTGATTTAAATCAGTTTGTACTTTCCAGTTAGTGTTTCCCATTTAAAATTTCCCTGATATGAATTCTGATTCAGGCCATAAAGATACCACATACGTAATCTTGATTCGCACGGATATTCCAGGACTTGTTTGTGATTTATCGGAAGAGATATGTACGACGTAGAGTATATAAGCAGTAAATACAATAAGATAGACACTTCCTGCTGAAGTTTGAGCGTATCAGCATGATTCCCCTTGTGATCTTCACTTCACTGTTCTTCTGCGTGGGTAGGTACACAAATGTTCTTGTAAGATTTGAGGTTTTCACGGCGGTGACTATGTAGAAAGCAGTCTTCTGGGATGTGGCGTCGTGTAGATATTGTATTAACCGACGTTTCGGAGGAACGTATTGCCTCCATCTACAATATCTACACGGCACCACAACCCAGAAGACTACTTACTTCAAATATGTTCTTATTTGTTTCGGCGAAACTTTAGTAATAAGCCAATGAACTCCGTATAACTGTAACTTGTCTCTCCGTTTTTCTTCAGTCATCCGAGATCTTCTGCGCACTGAATGAAGAACATTCGAATAGATTACAAAGTTTCTGTATGCTATGTCAATCCTTTATTGTAGTCGAAACTATTACGGTGATGGGGAAGTCTTGTATATTTGTTGGTACCTGAGTCAGGTTTCAAATGACACAAGTAAATTTCATTCTACTCTCATATTTATGTTTAAATAATAATAAGAAAAACATATAATATACTCATATGTATGATTCCACTCCTTTTGGTTTCTCTGTATAAATATTATGATGCAAACATTTGCCTGCCGACAATCATATTATAATATGCATTTAACTGCACCCTTTAAGCGTTTCCCTGTAGGTGATATTCAAGTTTCTATAGTATAGTCTAGTAGGTCACAGTAGCCGCACTGTACTGCCTTCGCTCGTTCGGAAGTCGGGATCGTGGGTTCGAATCTCACACTAGGCATGGATGTTTGGTGTGTGTATATGTTTATTCTGCGTTTGTGTTGTCCTGTGTTTAGGTAGAGGCCTTGCGACGAGCTGATCACCCGTCCAAGGAGTCCTACATTCTCTAATAATGAGCGATGAAACTGAGAAATTAGCCTTATGCTCCAAAGTGAGCGCGAAGGGAAGAAATAGAATATTATAGCCGAGAGTGAAGTACAGTTATTACTTGTGAATTCATGTTGTCCACTCCATTCTACGCGTCTTTAACCTCTCTCTACGTATAAAAATACGTGTTTTATTGTATTCATTAATGTTTGGTTATGGTGTTTATGTCCAATATGGAGGCGGATTAGAATACCTCCACCTTAGCCCTGCGAGTGTAGAAGGTGACGAAAAGAGAAGTCCATACGTGGGGCTATAATTGGGACTCCCTAGCACTGGGAGATCTAAATACAGAGACCTGATCCTCCAGGTTGGGGGTTGGACGCAAGACAGGCGACCTTGCTCTGTACAAATTTACTGTTGCGAAATGCAAAATAGTAAAACCGGATGTCTATTTCACGACGCAGTAGACAGGTCTGGCAGAATTTTGTAAGGAAGGCTATGGCTCAATATAAGCTGTTTTGCCACTGATGATGATGGTGCTTATGTAGCTCTAAGATTGCAGGTTATTTAATATAATCGAAACGTCAGATATATGAAATTTTTAATTTCATTCTTTTTTTTTTTCAGTAAGTAAACTAATATATGACGGCGGGATACAAATTAGAATACAATGAATTATTTCGGTATGATTCCATTCAAAGCGGATTAGCNGACGGCGGGATACAAATACGAATCATCTCCAAGGGGAACGACGATTACTTTGCCAGTTTTAAATAAATGGAAAATTATTTTGATAAAGTCACGTGTCATAAGGATTGAGCATATAGTACAAAACTCAGTATTGCAGACACTAATGCTTGCATTTACAGGAACTGTTCCCCTTGCCACACGTCATGGGCCTGATGGGCGCATTGTGGGCGGCAGTCCTGCCAACATTACCAACTATCCGTACCAGGTACATTATTCTTGTATATTATTCAATTGCATTGCTCTTATACGTTGCTGTACAAGTTGTGTATAAATAAGCAACGACATTTATTTTTACCTAGGCCAAGCCAGTGCTATTACAGGTATGAAGAGTTTAGAAGTTAGAAAATTGTTTCGTATGAAAATTCCAAGAACCTTCGTAGCAGAAGATTTTTATAATAAAGAAATTCTCGAATTTAAATTTCCTTTTTATTTACTATATGAAGATAAAAAGGAATTGACGGCACATCAGACATAAGGAGAAGATAGACAAATAAGTAAACCACATAGAACACCCCATCTGAACTAAGGAATTACCAAGATGATATCATTCTAATTTTTCGTAGCGAAATTAGCTGAATTGATGGAAATGGAAAATACGTATATTTGAATAGGAAGGAACGCACGGTATCTTCCAGCGGTTTCCAGATACAGTGAACCTCTGACGGGCCCAGCAAAGTATAAACTTCCCCATCCGCTTGCAATTCCTATCTGATGAAAGCAGAACAAATTTAGGAATTATTTCGTTTTAAAAAGCCTATATGGTGGACAAAGACCAAAATATAATGTTCCTCAGATTTTCCTAATATAAAACGATAACATTTAAGGGTTATATAGTTTCAGACATAATGCCGTGTAGTTCTTTGTAAATCAAACGGCGTTTCAGAGGAATGTATGGCCTCCATCTTCAGGGGTGAAAATACGTTCAAAAAGAAACCAGCATGAAGCAAATAGCAAACACAATTTAGACTTCAAGATGGAGGCGACATATTCCTCCGTAGTGTAGGTCGTCTTTCAACAGACTAGACGGTGTTATATACCCAAAGATAGACGTCTTCATAACCACAGCTGGGAGAACCTCAAATCCTCTAGTGTAGCATTCCTTCCAATGATTCTGCATCTGGATATACATGTACAGCCTTGGTACCAGCACTCCCCTATAAAAGAATTTGAAGGAATTAGTGATTTACATATATTCTGATCGTAATATTTACATCCTCTTTTAGCTGTCTTTGGAATTTTTCTTCATGCATAGCTGTGGCGCTTCCATCATTGGCGCCAACTGGGCAGTGACAGCCGCTCATTGCGTCGAGGGGTGAGTGTTCGCTTCCTGTTACAATGTTGACGTTTAAAAACTGTAGCTTTGAATATCCAGGTTGCGGCCAAACTGAGTAATGGTGAAACAGGATTCCTTATAGTCCAACAGAAGCTAAACGACCTTCGGAGGAATACACTGTTATAATCTTCAGGGTTAGAGATATGGCAAACAGAAGTAATGACAAAAATGGAAGCAGCTTGCTGTTATGTGTATTAGGTGCTGTGTTCATCCTAAAATCCCATTTAGAAAACTTGGATAAACGGCCGTGGGGATTCGTTGCGCTGACCACGCGACACCTCTATCCACTAAAGTTGGCACTAACTTCGCCGACAAGCGACGGTCGCTCGGTCGGTAGATTTCGCTTACGGGATACAGGTAACGGAGATCCTCCTAAAAGTCCTTCATTTCCTACCCATCATACAGTGTCACATCCCAGGAGAATGTATTCTTCGTGAATATTGTTATGAGAAACTGAAACTCAACACTGATGAAGTAGTCAGTAGATATGAAAAAGATGTCATTATTACTTGAAATAAATCCGTCTTTAGAATTTTTAGTAAAATATTTTTATGAAAATTGCATATGTCTCTGAATCTTGTCTGTTGTAAAAATATTTAAATACGATATTATTATATCAGTAGTTCACCTTATTTGTTCCTATTCCTTTTGTCCTTCCAAGATGAAGAACGTAGTTGCGACAGTACGTTGTTTGTATTGTAGTGTTTTAGGTTGTGATTATGTGCAGATCCCTGAATAATCTACACCAATCCCGCGAACTTCAATAACACTGATAACCACCCAGAACACCAGACGTTGTCACAACCCAGAATACCACAATCTGAACGCTCACCGCCAATAGAACAAAGTGACTTCTAACACACTCGCTTTTATAAACAGGTTGCCGCCCGCATCAGTGCGTCTTCGAGCTGGAAGTAGCACCAAGGGGGTCGGTGGTACGGTGCACCCTGCGTCCGAAGTTGTTATGCATCCAGACTACTGGGACGCCGACTATGACATTGCAGTCATCAAGGTGAGATTCTCGCAGAGACAAATGCTTTAGGCTTCACAGGACATTGTAATACACGTGAAGATTTGGTTACGTATTGAGAGAAAAGTGATACGCAACATCCGGGAATCGATCTCCTCTCCTTCAGTCAGTAGATACTCAGTTTACGGACTTGGATATCACGGCAATCTATACGGAATATTATAAATCATATTTTTAAAAATGAAACAATATTTATATGATCGAAATATTTTGTTCTGTTGTGTACAAAAGCAAGAAAAATATTAAATATAGCGAGACTAATTGTAAGCAGTCAAATACAAATCGGCGTTTTTTTGTTAATATATGTTACATATTTACAATATACTCTCGATTTTATTGAGTAATACGTAAACTTTCTGTAAGTGGGTGTCTTGAGTAGAGAAATCATCCACTGACGATATTCTTACAGGACATGTAACGGAATAATAATGGCTTTAGCTTTCATCATCTGCTGGTTGTGGTAGGTCAGGTGATCCGCTTCTTGGGTGCTGATTCATTGACTTGTATTATTTTAAAAAGTATACTCAGTTGAGGCACTATGCTACAAGCCAGAAGATTGCCGTTCGAGTCCCGATGAGGTGGATTCTTTTCAATTGACCTAATGCTTCCAGCCGCATCATGGCCCTGGGGTAGACTCACCCTCTAACAGAAATGAGTACCAAGAATATTCCGGTGGGATAAAGAGCGGCGCTTAAGGCTGAAAACCTTACCCCCATCTGTGAACCCTCTGTCTAGTCAATGTGGGACCCTCAACGTCTCACAACCCTATGGGCCTCTACGGCCCGTTACAGGGATACCTTTATCTATTACTCATTTGTGCGATAGATGAAAAGATAACATTAAAAGGGGTCATAGATATAAGGTCGAGACTTGAACCGAGTTCGTTTCGTTCGGTTTCATGTGCTTTTTTTATTGAGGACACAGCGATGGATATTCTGCTTCCATGAAAGACCTCAAGAAATTCTGGTCTCTCTGAAAGAGTAATAGTTACTGAAGTACGAATTTGCTTTATAGAATTAGTTACATATATGATGATAAAATTTTGGACGTTTCATATTCCACTCTATAAAGCACACATGTTGAATCTCTTTGACATTAAATAACTGTGTTTTGTGCAAATTATATTTATGGCTTACATGTGATTATCTATAATATAAAGCGATTATATCCCAGATATATCTTCTTAGTGGAGATTGACTGGTTTTAATTCGATATCGGAACTTACATTATAAATATTCTTTACACGAATTTCATAATTCAAATGATCGAAATATTCTGTTAGAATAAGAAAATTAAATACCTTATTAATGTGTTGCACAGGTATCAGAGCCATTCGAATTCAGTGATAGCGTGCAGCCAATTTCAATGAGCTCAGTGGTCCCTCCAACTGGAACTCCAGTCGTGGTCACTGGATGGGGCAGACTCAGTACTGATGGATCCTCCCCATCGCAGCTGTATCAGGTGCTGATTAGCGTGATGGACTATGACACGTGTAACTCTGCTTACCGGGAAGCCGGAGGCCTCACAACACGAATGTTCTGTGCCGGGGTTCCTGCAGGAGGAAAGGATTCCTGCAACGGGGATTCTGGTGGCCCTCTCATGGCCAATGGTGAACTCTCCGGCATTGTGTCGTGGGGCTACGACTGCGGAGAAGCTGGCTTCCCTGGTGTTTACGCTAATGTTGCTGTTTTGAAGAGCTGGGTCACTTCAGTCACTGGAATTGAGTGACGTGAAAATAGCAATCACAGTTGCGATACTCATGAATATAATTCATAAATTAAAATATTTTAACAATTATGTAATAAATGTACTAGTGGTATAAAATTTGAAGAGTGGTATATTTTTATCTCAGAATATATATCTTAATTTTAGTCATCACCAAATCTTAAAACCATTTATTCTAACTTTAAAAATGGCAGTTTTATTTCCGACAGCAAAAAAAGGCCACAATTTTAGGTTATCAGACCTGCCACCCCCTTTCATGCGTAAATAATAATATTTAAAAAAAAAGTCCCTGAGACCTCTGTATGCAAGTGTTTGTTCACTCTGCAGTACAATAAAATATCATCTTATGTCAGTGCAGTCAGATATATCAATTCTATAAAGGTCGAAATTTCAGACGTTTGGCACTTGTGAGTTTAAGATGATGATTATATCAATATAATGTGTTTCGTGTTATATTTATATAATTGCAGTGCTTTCACGTTGGATTCTAAATTGATTAATTAATTATGAGTTAATAAAATATATTGCTGATCATCAAATTAAATCATAAATTAATATGCATTCAAGTGCTCAATAACAAGACAAGTTTCGATTTTCAGATAATCATAAACAGAGGTTTTCTACCTATTATTAAATGGTCTTATTATAATAGTTAAGGTTTCTAAAAGATCGCTGTTCTTCCTCAAAATATATATATTGAATTAATAAACGAAAATATTGTTCAATGTGCTGATGTTATGCTACCAGCATGAGTTTATGAGGCAGAATATTATTATATTTACCATATCCTATTCATATGTTATAGCAGTTATTTATATTCTTGTATATATAACATACAATTATATTGTCCCGTACTAGTTTTCATTAACTGTAATATAAGATTATAGGATGGACAATTATGTAGGAACTTCGATTACTGTACTAAATGCTGGTTAATAAAATGCCCCCGTTGATAACTTTCCAAGAGTCGAAAGATATCGGGTCATTGTTTAAATACACGTACATAACCTGTAGTTGGTTGAGGCACTGTGCTACAAACAGGAAGGTCGCTGGTTCGAGTCCCGTTGAGTTGGATTTTTTCAATTGACCTAATCCTTCCAGCCTCACTATGAACGTAGGGTCGACTCAGCCTCTGACAGAAATGAGTACCCGGAATCTTCCTGGGAGTAAAGAGCTACCGGAGCGTAAGGCTGACAGCCTCACCGCCATCTCTGAGAAATTTTCTAGAGAAAATGTGGGAGCCCCGACGATTCACAACCCTATGGGCCTCAACGGCCTCTTACAGGGATAGCTTTACCTTTCATTATATTTTTACCTTTATATTATAATTAGAAGACTTTTAGTAAACTTTATTAGTTCATAACAGTGTTTAGAATATGTATGTGTTAGTAAAGAATGAACATTATTTTTAGAATTTTACTATTGTTGTTAAGGGAGAGCAGCTTTGATTATGTGCTCTGCGCGATATATGAAATGTTCGCCTTGCAGCAGAAAGCACAGACCGTGTTGTGCTCGGAATTTAAACCTATTATTCGATTTCAACGCGAATTTATACGTGAGTTTGGTGTGAGATCACCTGATGACAAGAGAACTAGGAGATGGTACGAGAAATATGGGCTGGCCGACAGTGTGACAAAGGATGGCATAGGACATCTCATGAAGTTGTGGATCGCGCTAGACAGGCTTTTACACTGACTCCGAAGACGTCGGCCTCATTGGCGAGTACATAATTGCAGATGTCGCAAACGGCTGTCATCAGAATTCTTCGAAAGAACCTACGTCTAAAACCGTACAAATCACAAATAGTCCATAAATTTAAGCACACGAAAAACAGCTTAGTTTGCAGTTTTGACACACATGTTGCCGCAAATTCTGGAACAAGATAATTTCTTAGGTCGTATTGTCTTCAATGATCAGGCAAGATTTCACATGTCTTATTTGTCAATCAGCATAACTATGTCATTTGAGGCAGTGAGCCTTCCAGAGAACATAACATGAATGGAATTCGCTTAGTGTGGGGTGGAGTCCAACTGGGTCCACTCGGCACGGCGGCCACTGTTTGGCCTATTGTAGCCTACTCCGGGTGATTATGATGATGGAGAATTTGGTGGAATGAAGATTTGCTGGGAAACCAAAGTTCTCGGAGAAAATCTACCCCAACGCCACTTTGTCTACCACATATCCCACTTGACCAGATACGGGATGGAACACGGGCCGCCGCGGTGGGAAGCCAGCGACTAAACATGAATGGGTAGGTATAAGGCAAACTGTAATCTGAAAGTCGCCGGTTTAAAATTCGTCCCGACGATTGCTGGATGATGCATTAACTTGAAAAGCTTTAAACGTTTCCTTTTTACTCTGAACTTTGTGGCTGCCGTGGCTAATGTGCACTGCTGCCATTAATGCAGCCATTTTCTTCAGTCTGTTGTATACCATTGCAATCAGAGTATCCTGTGTAGCCTGCTATTTGAAAACCAACCCTGAAATTCCGTGTGTGCAACTCAAGCAATTTTTTGTTTTCATAAACTCATACACGAGATGCTAATTGCCATGCTCCGCATTAGGAAATCGTGTCATCTCGTTTCGCTAGAAAATTTGCTTCACTGTCGGAAGTAAAGTAAGCCATACCAGGAGTTCCGTCTTGTGATATTACGAAGGCCCCGAATACAAAAATAGAGAAATATATACTAAAATTTAAAACGCCGAAAATCTGAAACGGGGGAGAATCCAATAACTGTACTTTTACATTTTCTGTTCAAAATTATCTCCTCAAAATCTGTCAAAATTTCTACCAGAAAGCTTTAATCATCCTGTATTTTGTATCAGCAGTGTAAAAAGTTGTTTTTACGTTATTATACGGCGTGACGTGTTTACGTTTCCACGTATTATTTTTAAAATACAGAAAATCTTTGTGTGTTCTGGCCATGCTTTTCCATCAGTTTGTTTATCTGTTGACTTTGTTTCAGCATTTTTTTAAAAACTGCGCATGGAAGACGTCCGCTTAAAGATGTCCGGGAATTCTAATTTTCAACCACATTGATCCCTAATATAGCCTAGTTTACATAACAGCATAAATTGAATTTTCCGCATATCCTACGAATGGTCTGGCAGATGTTATTGACGTACGGTATGAGGAATTCTGGTAAAGTTTGTCTGCTAATTCGCATTTTCAGCTCGTACAGTATTACTTATTGAAGAGTAATTTATATAAACCCATAAAGAGAAGTTTCAATTCAACCCAAAACCGTTCCATATAGTTTATCGAAATTCGACATGAGGAATTTCCATGAAAAGGCTTTGGACAGTTGCGATCCCCAGCTATATTTGTCTAAAAGAGCCTAGTTTACACAAACTTTCCATGTTCTTTCCCATATATTCGGGAATTCGTTTCAGATATTGAGTTGGAATTTAATATTTTAACTTAACGTCCATGTATTTATCGTCCGTCAGTACTGCACCACTTGTTTATTCACTACTTAATCTTAATCTTAGTTTAACATTTTACACTTTGACACAACATGTTTCGGCCCCAAACGGCCATTTTCAGGTGTCTTGATATGTTACAAATATTTTATTAAATTATGCTAAAACTGCTACACTGTGTTAGTCCGTTTTAAAATCACACGCTGTAGTTCTCTTTTAAATGTAAATCAAGATAAAATTCGTTACAATTCATATTTCACCTCACAAGGAGTGACGTCCATTGTTCATAAATGTACGCCTGTCCCAGGAGTTTCCGCAGCTTGCCCCTCACATTCGTAGCCTACTTTTCAGTTATGTCTGCTAAATGCCCCTGGTTTGCGTGTTTCCTCCAAAGCTTGTGGTGTTGTCTTTGCTAACATGATAACACGTTTGAAACATAAAGACACCTGAAGATGGCCGTTTGGGGCCGAAATATGTTGTGTCAAAGTGTAAAATGTTAAACTAAGATTAAGAGTAAGTAGAGAATAAGCTGGAGAACCACCCCTTGTCGCCTGTCCGCTACTGCTTATTCAACATATTCACAGCTTCCCTCCAAAACTGGAGGGCGTCTCCTCCATCCGCAACCTGAGGACGCGCCATGCCGTGGTGACAAGGGACCCACCTAACAAATAACGTAAAAAAATAATTATGTTACGAAAATGAACACAAAGCCTCGGACCTGGACTGATTCCTTGCATAAACGACCTAAGCTAAAGAAAATGGATATGAGGTTTGGCACTTGGAATGTTCGAAGTTTGTATAGGGCAGGTTCGATCAGGGCAGTGGCGGAAGAAATCTTAAAATACGTATATAAATTGGATTTAGCGTGAGTACAGGAGATCAAATTAACCATATTTTGATAGATAGGAGACGGCACTCAAGTGTACTTGATGTCCGATCATTCAGGGCAGCAGATTGTGATACTGACCACTATCTACTGGTGGCAAATATTAGGGAAAGACTGGCAGTGAGCAGACAAACAACACACAGGGTTCATATGGAGAGGTTCAATCTCAAGATATTAAATGAGGTAGCAGGTAAAGAGTAGTGTTGTGTTGAAATCTCAAATAGGTTCGCAGCTTTGGAAAACTTGGAAACTGAGGTGGGTGATAAAAAAGCTTGGGAAACTATTAGAGAGAATACAAAAATGTCTGCCAAAGAGAGTCTAGGTTATTATGAACCGAAGAAGCATAAGCCGTGGTTCGATGAAGGATGCTCAAAATTATTAGATCAAAGAAAGCAGGCCAAATTGCATGGTTACAGGATCCAAGCGAGTTAAATGGGGATAATCTGAACAATATAAGACGTGAAAACAACAGGCATTTCAGAAAAAAGAAGGAATATCTGAAAGATAAAATTGCTGAGCTTGCAATGAACAGTAAGAACAAGAACTTTAGAGACCTGTATAGAGGAATAAATGACTTTAAGAGGGGTTACCAGCCTAGGAGTAACTTAGTGAAGGATGAGAATGGTGATCTGCTTGCAGATTCGCACAACATTTTGAATAGGTGGAGGAACTACTTCTCTCAGTTATTGAATTTATATAGGGTCAGTGCTGTTAGACAGACAGAAATTGATACAGCTGAGCCGTTAATACCTGATCCTAGCCCTTTTGAGTTTGAAAGTGCTCTTGCAAAATTGAAACGGTATAAAACGCCAGGTAGTGATTAAATTCCTTCAGAACTTATTCAAGCAGGAGGCGATATATTATGTTCTAAGATCCACAATCTAATTATTTCTATTTGGCATAAGGAAAAATTGCCTGATCAGTGGAAAGAGTCTGTTATTGTACCAGTGCACAAGAAGGGTGATAAAACTGACTGTAGTAATTATCGGGGTATATCACTGCTATCAACTTCATATCAAATTTTGTCCAATATTCTTCTTTCAAGGTTAAGTCCATATATAGATGAATTTTTTTGGGACCATCAGCGTGGGTTTCGACGTAACAGATCAACTACAGATCAGATCTTTTGCATTTGTCAAATATTGGAGACAAAATGGGAGTACGATGAGACAGTACATCAGCTATTCATAGACTTCAAGAAAGCCTATTATTCAGTTAGGAGGGAAGTATTGTACAATATTCTAATAGAGTTTGGGATAGCCATGAACCCAGTTAGGTTGATTAAAATGTGTTTATACGAAACGTATAGTAAAGTCCGTGTAGGTAAACATTTGTCTGATAAATTTCCTATCCAGAATGGTCTAAAACAAGGAGATGCTTTATCGCCACTCCTTTTCAACTTTGCCTTAGAATATGTAATTAGGAACGTCCAGGGAAACCAGGTGGAACTGAAATTAAACGGGACACGTCAGCTGTTGGCATGCGACGATGATACTGGGTGATAATGTAGATACCATAAAGAAAAACACACAGACTTTAATTGACGCAAGTAAAGAGGTTGGTCTAGAAGTAAACACAGAGAAAACTAAGTATATGTTGCTGTCTCGTCACCAAAGTACATGGCAAAATCATGACATAAAGATAGGAAGCAG